AGCTATCCATCGCAACAGCAATCGCAACAGTCATCGCACTCCTGCCGACCCCACAAACAATACCTGTATTACGTGTTGAGAGAACAGCCCATCTGGCGATCCCTTCGCTTCTGGAACGCGGCCTTCTTTGACGCCCTGCAGACCGAGCGCTCCAATAGACCCACTCCTACACAGCGACAACTCAACCAATACAACAAACAAGACATCACCGATGAGAACCAGTTTCAACAGAACATCACTTTCGGACAGTTAGGGTATGTCTTTCTGTCTCCCATTTACAAAATATAAATGTTTTTTTAATGAAAATTTTTATTTCAAATAATTCTTTAACTTAATATCTAATGAATGTCTTTATTTGCAGAGCATTCACACATAATATGCATTCATTTGGTTTACCCAAAGAGTTATGTAACGAATTCCTGCGAAAGCAGAGCACTATTGCAAACCTACCCCCAGGTATAGCGACGCTTGTTATGCATTGATTATGTGATTATAATTAATAATTGTTTGGATGTATTAACAGAACAAATATCGATACTCCGGGAAAACATTGAATTCATGTATTGTCACTGATATTAACGTTTGAAGACAATGAATGACAACCTTCTTATATAATACTCTAATAGTAGTCTCTAATCCCATGTTAAGTAGACTATAGGCTTAATAATGGATATTCTTTGTTATGAATCTCTATATTCATAGATATTTATACGAATAGAGTATATATTTATGATATAATTGTAATGAACACAAACTCTTGTATCAAATGATTGAATCTTTTGTTATGAAAAGGTTTTAATAATTTATTTTATTATTGAATATTGTTTAAGATATAAATGAAGTGAATGTAAAGCATTCATAACACATAACTTATTACATATAAAACAGAATATCTATACAAATAATATCCAAAATAGAGTTAGCGATGAAACCAAATATCAATTAATATGTTATCAATTATATTAAGATATCTAACAATACGTTTGAAGTGAGAAATGAAAACAATATAATATA